GTACCAGCAAGAAGAGGATCGACACGACATAGATTTTAAAGCAACGTCATGAAAAGAGTTTGCTCTACAGAAGAGATTAGTATGACCTTTCTGAGACGTTCGATATCCAGCAAAGCTAGAGACAATATGAAGTCTTGTTGTGTGTCTTCTTTATACTAATACTGAAGCTAATGATACAAGCTGAACAGCTAAACAAAACAAATAAGTTAATGAAACTGACATCATCGGTATTTTACAGTCGCGCCGTTAGTTTTGCTTTATCCATACTAGTTAAAGATGCGAGCGAGTCGGTTTGAACTAAATAATCACAATACCTTTCCTCGGTCCAACATTACAGCTGAAATCATAATTTTGAAGTAGTAGACGATTTCGTCTATGTAAGAATCAGCATTAATACCAATAAGATTGTCATTCTTAACGTCCAATGCAGAAACACATTTTCCAACAGCGGCTCCTTTGGACTAAGTAGGATATTGAAGAGTAAAGTCCTCTCAACGTCTTGGCAGTAGCAGAGGTAATGTTCCACCGATTCCTCATCATATATGTCCCTGCAGCTGTGGTAGAAGCTCATTCTTCTACCATGTGGCCACATAAGATAGTGTCCGGTTATTACGCCGGATCTATAAACCAGAATTGCTGCATTTTCTTATTCGTACCTCTCTGGAATTTTTGTCGAGAAAGTGTTGTCAAAACAGAAGATGAAAATTCTGTAGTCCACCTCTTCCGAGAGTCACGTAGAGTTTAGTTCCACCATATTTGAGCTGCATTTCGCATAATAGCAATGCAGCACACTTGGAGTTTCCCGTATAGGTCTGCTGAAAGAAGATTAAGCAAAATTTCAAGGGCTATCGTAGCAGATGAGGGCAGCGCTCCTGAAATGAGTACGGGGACTGCCCGCTAAACTTTTTCCAACATACCCTTTACTGGCAACCATACAGTGAATTTGTACAATATAATGGATCTTATTCTTATTCTTAGTCTTGGTCTTAGTCCCCTTCTCTGACCAGCCACCGCCTTGCAAGCTTGGAGTGTGATCGTAGCCAGTATCAGTTCGGTTTTTGAAAGATTTACATCCAAACCGAACTCACTGCTCCAACTACTTACTTTGTTAAATGAATTTCGGAGCAAATTGTTAAGGATTTTGAGGTGTTTTCAGTGGCTAAGAGGGTAACAGCATCACCTTACTTAGCTTTATTTGAAAAGTACAAAACGAAGTAGAGAATAATGATAAAGAATTAATACAGTGTGACCTTTTTGTCAAAGCAAAGAAAAAATTTTTAATATTTGTGAATACATAACATTTTAAATCATTTTTATTACCCTAGATACAAAATTATGAAAAATGAAATTTATTGTAGTTCAAAGTAATATTTTTGAAATTCAATATTCATTTACTTAAGAATAAAATACAGTTAAAATATAAAATCCAAAAATATTTTGGCAACTGTTAAAATATAAACAGGCGATAAGCCATATTTCATGCTTTCTGGCTAACCATAAAATTTGCATATATATGTACATATATGCATATATTCATAATCACCAAGCAGTAGCTGCCATAAACGGAAATATGCAAATTTTTATATTTAATAAATTTTATGGTTTTAAATCGTTTTAATTCGTTAAAGTTAATTGCATATGTTTTTGCGCTAATTCTCGTTGCTTAAACAAATTTTTTTCGCATTAACAACACATTTGTCGGCGACATAAACACACAATATATACTAATATGGCAAACATTTTATTTGTTTTTAATGTGCTTGATATGGTTGCTAATTTATTTTCTTGCTTTATTTGCTGGTTTTGTTTTTGCTCTGTGTCGCTCTTTCTACACCCCTCTTTTTCTTCTTCTATGTCACGATTTTGCAATTAATTTATGCCATTATTAGTTCGTTAAAATTATGTTATACTTAAATATTCGTTTTTAATTGATTTTTTAATACCGCTAAAATGGCATAATATGTTGGAAATTTCATGCTAAACGCGTGTCAGATGTGCCGCCAAGTAATTTTCCCAATGTTTATATATCTAAGAGTGGCGAGTATGTATATGCGACTAATAATAAATAGGATTTTCCATTTCGTGGTTTCAAAAGTACCGGACTTTATTTTGACATCTGTCTAATTTAACAAACAAACCAAAGAAGTTTTGTTTTAGTTAAAAGTCAAGCATTTAATTGTTGAAAACTAAAAAAAAAGAATGATACAAACTTTGACACACATTCTCTCCAATTAATTAATTAAAAAGAGCTCATTACAATCAATAAAAAAATATCTTCTGTTACGTTTTTTGGTCTGGAAAGTTGATTGGATTTTACTTCTTTGAAAAAAACAATGACGAGACGGTCACTACCGCCGATCCGGAGCGTTATGGTGCAGTAATAATAGGCTTTTCTTGGTCTGTAATTATAGAACAAGGCTTAGGCAGTAAGTGATTTCAACAAGTAAGCACCACATGCCACACAGCACGGGCGATATGGTTTCACCGCGAGAGAAATTTCCCGGCCACGTAACTCTCTTGTCTTGGCATTGTCGATAGACGAACGAGATCGTACTACGTTAGAGATCGTGAGCACTTGAAAATCAACATTCGTCAAGTTGTAGCTGAGATATCACCAAATAGGTACCAAAAAGTGGTTGAAAATTACCTCAAACGAATCGGAGTTGGCGAAAATTTGTGACGTAGTCATAATAACATAAATATAAATGAAATATATAGTTGATTGCTATATCATAGCAAAGCTCAAACTTATAATGATAAAATAATTCCATGAAGAAAATTATTTTAAATACATTTGATTTACGTTTCATTTTTAAACCACGAAATGGATAATCCGGTTTAGCTACAAGTATACATTAATCCTTCGAGGTTGTTAAATATATGAATTTGGAAGTTATTTTACGGAATTTGCAATAGGTATGCATGTGAGGAAATTTTAAAATTATTTTACAGCTAAAATTTGACATGCGCGGCCTTAATATTTCTTTAATAATGCTGCTCAGTTTACCGCCACAAATGATATACAGACTTTATTTTCAACATTTGTAACTTTGTCAACTGCTAAGAAGCCAAAAACAAATTTATAAAATTTGTAAACCATATTTAAATGTCAGGAAATATTAACTGTTTAAAGATTACGATAGTTCAATGAAATAGTAGTGGGATATGAAAAATATTGCCTATCTTTCGGCGCAAGTTAGGAAAAGGCTCAATGATGGTTTAGCATATGTAACTTTTCTATAGTTTGTTGACCTTTGAGTAAAAAGAAGCGAGATGCTTTAAAAATGTGTATTAATTGAAAATTCTTGGTTGAAAGGCTGCTTTGAACTGCTCCTAAAGGTTTGATGGCAAATATGTCTTATTCGAGATAATTTGTTTCATAATTATCCGCAGTTATATTGTCATTTATTCGTATATACTTTAAAGTATTTCCTTGAAGTTTGTTCAGCAATCAGTCGATTCTATGCTTTTCGAATCACCCATACAACAATGAATGTGAATGCATAGAAATCAGCTGGTTGTTACTATTTGGATTTACCTAGTGGGTTTTCCCTAAACTGTAGGTACATTCATTAAGGAATTACATAGGACTTGAAACTTCAAAAAATTCATTATTTTTATAATTTTTTGTATAAAAAAGCAGGATGGCGAAACTTTAAGCGTGTTTTTCTTAAAACCACTTTATCGAAATCGGTAGTCGAAAGCTAATGAAGCGATCGAGTTTAAATTTTCCACACTTCTTTGAAATATGTTTTTGTAGTCCCCAAACGAAGGATTTATTTTATCTTTAATTTCAACTCATTTCACAAGCCAATATATGGCCTAATTTCATGCAAAAAAAATACGTTTTTTTTTTGTAAAAAACGCTACAAAAAATAAATTTTTGAATTTTTGATTTCAGATGAAAATTGAAAAAGTTATCATGACTACCGCGAAAGCACTTTCTTGTGGACGGTCTACTTCACGACACTGCCAACGCCTTAACTTTTACTATTTTTCATTCAAATTTTCATCAAATTATGTCCATATATTATACTTTTATATGTAAACAAAATAAATTGTACATATTCTTTAGTATCTTTTAAAAAAATTAAAGAGAATAAGCTTTTTTTGACCTTCAAGACATACGTACCCCTTAATTGGAGAAGTGTGAAGAGAAGTATAAAGTAGTATGTATTAAGAGGAGTGCAGCTGAAGTTGGCTTCAGCAGTAATATCTATTATTATTCCCAATGGTTTACTCACCTTCCGCACGAAGGGCGCAGTCATTACGTACGGAAACTTTTATTTTAGTTATCAAGCGGAAGTTTGTTTAGTGTCGAGACTTAGAAAGCTACAGAACATGAATTCATCAGCTGATTTTTAATGGAGACTTAATTCAAACATGCAAAGTTTAACTAAATAACTTAATTCCATGTCAACAAAATTTTTTATTAATGAGAATGAGCGAGTTAGACATGCAAAGGATAATAATATTCACAATTTGTTTTATAGATTTTGCTAAGCGGAAAATTAAATTCGGTTTAAGTAAAAGGAAGGAGATTAAGGAAGATTATATAGGAATTTAGCATTTTTAATTTTTAACCATGAAAATTTCACCAGTCATGTCTCTACGACTGGCTGGCGCTTTGTAACCGACCGATTTACGTCAAATATGTACCGATTAGATCGACAACTTTTTGATTGTTTATGATTGTTTAATTTGCAAAAAATTGCAGGTACATAAGCTAATCATTTGGGGGCGGATCCGGACTAAAATGTGGTTGCATTGCAACTTCCCAACCAAGCTCTCTGAGCTTCTGACGAGTCACTACCAAATAGGTATGGTCTAACTCTGTCCTGATGAAATACAATTCGCCTCATTTTGGTCAAAGCTGGGCGATTCCGTGCGATTGCTTCATCACGGTTCAATTTCCGATTGTACAGGTCTGAATTGAAAGCTTGGAATTGAAATCCAAAGCATTTATATTGGAAATTTTGTAATGTTAATTTTCTACTCACCTCAAAATTTTGTGATCTTCAAAATCCTCAAATAACTGCTTCCAATGAAATCGCTTATTTTGCACTAGTACTTAAACTAATTACTACTTCATGACACATTTTGTATGAATTATTTTAAGTATCAATTTTTTTTTGTATTAATTTCTTAGATTTTGTGCACTACGAACAAATTGTTGAACGTATTTTTTTTATTAATTTTTATACAACTTTCATGACTTTTTGGAAAAATTTATATCTTTGTTATTATTCTTATATTCAGAAACACTTTTTCAAATTTAAAGAAATTTTTTTTTTCGTCACTGATGATTGCTTGTTAGCACAAAATTTTTTTCTAAAATTTATTTCTACTATTTTAAGTTTTTATTTATTTTTCGAATTAGTCATATATGTAAGTATGTATATTTTAAATTTAATTTTTTTTTGTCAAAAAAATGTACACACACTCACATCTAAAGCGTATTCGAAATATGAAATTTCACAAAGAGCAGACCTGCAGTGCAATTTATCACAATATCGGGATGATGTTTCCTTGGGGAATTTGCGTCTGTAATGGAAGTGAAAAAAGATTATAGATTAATATTAGCCACAGAAATAAGCTTTTTTTCAAATACCTAATATATATAAGGTTATATATTTCGAGGTTACAAAAGCACAGGGCTGTATTTTGGCAGCTCTTCTCTTCGTTAAAAGTCGTTCGACTTATGAAAACTGATCATTCAACAACCGCAAAATAGTTTAAAATCGTTAAAAGCTACTACACAAATGATGATTCAAACGTCTGGTGCTTTAAGAGGATTTTATGGTGCACATAATCGTCCAACCCCTTGAGCAATTGGTAAGATTAAAAAAAAAATCGTAAGAGAGGCGATCGGTTGCAATTATTGAAGGACCATTATCGCTTTATGCGTTCTACTACACTTATCGCTATTGTAAGTGAGAGTTTAGCCGAAAATCCAAACTCGCCTCAAGATTCTTCAGGGCTGGCACTTTCTCAAGCCACATTATGACGTATTTTGCAGCTTGTCTTACACCTACATTCAAACAAATTCCAGCTCACACAACAACTAAATCATCAAACTGATCTATTCACAACGCCGGTCATGTCTCGATTGAGTACTTCAGAAACGCGCAGTGGACGGCGATTTTTATAGGAAAATTTTTTTCAGCGACGATTTCTGCTCCGTCAGTTAGGTAAATAAGCAAAATTGTCATTTTTGACGCTCCCAAAATACGCAAATAATTAAGGAGAGGCAATTATAATCGAGAAATCCTACTGTCTGCTGCGCTTTTCGATTCGTACGTGTGATTGGACTGGAATTGAAGAATTCGACTTGGACAATACGAGCATATGATTTCAGCAATATATTGCCACATGCCACACAACATAAGCTACTATGGCTTTATTGTGAGAGAAATTTTGCCGCCATGTAGCTGTCTTTTCTCTTTTGGTCACCGGTATCGAGTGATTTGACACCGTTGGACTAATTTTTGTGAGGTGCTAAGCGAAAGACTGTATTTATGTGGATAAATCTTTAACTTTGGAGCACCTGAAAACACCAACGTCAACTTATGACTGAGAAACCACCAAATATATATCTGTGTCAAACAGTGGCCGAAAATTACTTCAAACTGACCAAAAGTCGCAGAACTGTCATTTAAATGACAATTTGACGGTGGTACAATTTTACTAATATCAAGCATTGCTCTCTGAACTGTTTAATGCCATTCTAAAACTAAATTACTTTTGAAACGGGTGGAATGCGTCGCAGATATTAATGATAGCCAAACCAGGCAAATACCACACACAGGCGGTTTATTACAGACCAATAAGTATACTACCCGGTCTTTCCAAATTTTTTGAAAAAACTCTGCTATCAAAAATATCTACTTTTCTCCACCGTAACAATGTTATACCAGATCACCGATTCGGCTTTCGTGAAAAGCATAGTACTATTGAACAAGTTAACTGAATAACTATTGAAACCAGGAAGGCAATCGAGCTCAAGGAGTATTGCTGTGCAATCTTTCTTGATGTAGCACAATCGTTCGACAAAGTCTGGCATAAAGTTTTACTGTAAAAAATACATAAAGCTCTGCTTGTTCAATTTTATATGATACTTAAGTCATATCTAACTAACAGACAATTTACCATTAAACAATCTAAATTTATCAGTGACGAGTATTCGGTAAAAGCTGGTGTTCCGCAGGGTAGCGTCCTCGGGCCTATTTTTTATATCATATACACTGCAGACATCCCATTAAAACAAAAAGTGCAGACATCTACCTTTGCGGATGACACAGCTGTTTTATGCCGGGATAAATGTCTTAAAAAGCACCAAGAACGATTAGTGATCATTAACTCCTCATCGAAGAATGACTAAAAAACTGGAGAATTAAAGTTAACGAACAAAAGTGTAAACACGTTACAGAGCGCAATCATGTTCTGCAATTGCTTAAATGGTATAAACATACCCCACACTTAGATAGACGCCCACTTGGAAGATGCGCATAGAGGCAAAAAAACTACACATGAAATTAAATGCAGCTAGTTTAAATTGGATTTAAAATAAAAACTGCGGTCTAAAACTAGACAGCAAAGTCCTTATCTATTTACCACGCAGTATTAAAACCAATTTGGATGTATGGTATTCAACTGTGTCGTACGACCTGTGCAACTAATATTGATAAAATACAGAGGTTTCAGTCCAAAATTTTAAGAGCACTAACGGTATGTTCATAACGTAAATATCCATAAAGACCTTGGTATTTTACTACAACCCATCGAGGAATTCCCACCTGCAGCGAAAAGATATTCCCGCTTTCTTAAGAGAGCGTCGTAGTTTGAAAAGGGCTCAGAGTTACATAACTCGAGCTATCATGTTTGTACTCTAGGTTTTAAGATTTGTACACTTACTGTTAGGCTTATATTATATTAAAGCAGATCCAGTAAAAACATGAATTGTTTAAAAAAAAAATACTTGGAAAAAGTCACAAAATCTCTCAAAAGTTATCTACCTATTGACTTGAAATTTCGTCAGATTATCTTTATGATTCATAGGAAGATCACAGTGTACTTAGAAAGCGAAATAGTAACAAAATTTACTGAACGGTAAGTTTTAAAGGCAAAGTAAATTTTATTATCTCGACATAAAAGACCTGATAATGTCAAGATCTTAACTTTAAAACAAACAAAAAAGAATTTACAAGAAAATAAATTATTTTAATAGCATTTTATTTACGTTAATTTTTGAAATCGAAAAATGGATAACCCCACTTTTTCACGATTAATGCACAGCAAAACTGAAAACACAAAAATTAGTTAACCATAAAAATGAGAACAAAGCATTTTGCAAATAAGGCAAAGAAATAAATAAAACTGAAAAAATAGACAATAGTAAAAATAAAAATAATAAACACAAAAGACCAAACAAAACAGGGGATTACTGCACACGCGATTTTGTGTTGGTGGGGAAAATAAAAATAAAAAAAATTAAAAAAAAAATATAAAAAATAATAATAAAAAATAAAAATTGTATGTCTAACTTTACCGCTTAGCAACAAGTAGAGTACAGTAAGACCCCACTGACCGACCGACCGACCGACCGACCGACTCACCACCACTCAGTTGGCCGGCCAATCATTTGACCACAAAGTACCAGTACTCACAGCCGCACAGCTGTGCGCTGTGCTATTTCAACTATAGCGAGTACAAAGTAAAAAATACTAATACAAAATTACTAAAAAGAAAACACAAGAAATATAAAACACAAAACAATTGGCACATTCAGAACGTAAATAAATTAGAGGCATCAAACGGAGTAGACACATGACTACATACATTCATATGCGAGTATATATTCACAGAGGTGCATGCTCATGCATATGTTAGTATGGACGTGCCCTCATGTACACCCAGTGAAACAAAACTAATTACCGTAAACACGCGTTTGCTCGATTTTTACGCTGGTCAACCACATATAAAGGCTGTCCGTCACTCTTATGGCGATTTTTCCATATTCGCCCGAGCAAGCAAGCATGATTGACAGCGGGTATTATTAGTGAAAATAGGTCAGGGAATTGCGAGTTTCACCAGTGAATTTCTACCTTTCTTTTTTGTCACTTGGAGAGCGAAAAGTTGGCGATGAGATGAAATAGATATTGAAAGCTCGTCTAAAACTCTAAAGTAGAGGCCTGAAATAAGGTTTCAAGACCGACGTAAGGTCTTGGTATGGAGTTCACGGAAGGGATGTGTTGACTATTGCACAGAATCGAGCCAGCTGAGCGGTGTTGCATGTAAAATACACCCAAGTTCCTGATCGATGACGTTAGAATTGACATGGCGTTAGCCGTCTATGACGAGGTTCAAATATCAATTGGACGACTCAAGAACAACGAGGTAGCGCCACCCGATGGTTTGCCGGCCGCCTTATTCGAGAAAAGCAGTGAGCAGCAGAATATGATCTGAAGCAAGCATTCCCGACAATTGGAATCTGAGTGTACATTGTCATAGTGGATCTCTAGGATACATATCTACACCGCTTTGTTAGAATTTGCGAGCACTCTAACTTTGAGAGAGTTCGAAATTTGATTTGAAATAAATGGCAAAGTTTATTCCAAATAAATCTAGCTCATTTGTCAAAATCGGCTAGAAAATATTACAATTCCTAAATTTTAAAATACCGAAGGTTTAGATGGCGCACCCAGTTTTGTTTGAGGACCTAGTTTCACTTGTTATCTCAAGTTAGCGTACTACTCATAGCTCGACTGTAGTCTCGAAAGTGGTATTCTTCGCCTGCAAAGAATCTCATCCAAACTACTTTCGGAATATTCCTCTCAATAACCGTGGACGGCCGAAACAACCGAGTGGTTAGTATTGCTTACTAGAGTTCGGAAAGCAGGATTCGCCAGGGTTCGGCAGGGAAAGTGTATTTCTCGCATGGAAATCAAAGCTCCACATAAAAATCCATTGACCGTTATTCCTGGATGTTCTCAATCGACTCAAAATGGGTTTCTTTGACCACAGATTTTGTTCCACGAATAAAAGAAATTTACAGGGAGACATAAGGCCGTTGTTGCAACACGGCGATTCCTTTAGAGTCCAAACACTGGGACACGTTGAAGGCGGTGTGGCAAGGCGCGTTGTCGTGATGAAGGATCTAGTTTACGAGTAGACTTGATTTACGGTTTGTGCCGGTGGAAGAAATTCTCTATGGACGATTACGCACTTCG